CGAAACCTGCAAAAGAAAGAGAAAGAGACAGAAAAAAGGGGAAGTGATGGTGGAGAACGAATAAAAGCATGTCAACGGAAAAAGAAAAGAGATGAAGGCTAAAGAGCGTATGTACATGTGAGACAAAGAAAAGGAGAATTCAGCAGGTGAATCAAAAGAGAAACAAAGAACAAAAACACAAGTGTGTAAAAACAAAGGACTGGATGAGAAATACAAATGTCAGAAGACTGACTGCGAATGAGAAGAGCGCACGAGGAAAGCAGAACGCAGAAAAAAAAGAGAAAGGAGGATTAGCAGGCAGAGCGGACTGGCGGGTTGTAGTCCATCCTCTTTATTTCCTGTGGGAAGAGCAGAGAAACTGACCCCAGGATTATAGATTAGAGTTAATAACCCCCTTCCCGCTCACAGTAAAACCCATTAACTTCCCCCCAACACCAAACTACCCTCCTAAAGCCCCACAGACCAACCCTCTGTTGAGTCACTGCCCCGTCTGGACCACCTGCACACATAAAGTCAGCGCTCATGATGGGGAGGAGGGGGGTATCGTCTGACAGGAGATTTTCACATGAGCCCGGCTCCCGAACTCCCTCGAAATTCACACCCTGCCTCTCATTCGCGAGTGACACAGAAAGCCAAGCGTTGCCATGGGAATATTAGCATGTGTGCGACTTTGGGTCGTGCGGTCTGAAATAAATTTGAGGTTTGTGTTAACATTCCCATTGTGCAACGCAAACACGTGGCTTGCCACCTCGCCGCGGCACAATTTTCATTTTGATTGTCTGTCTGAGGGGAGGTAAAGGTGTTTAATGCCAGATAAAGCACCCTCGGGGTCATTTTGTTGCTGTGTGAGGCTGTGCACGAGTGTGTTTGTGTGCTTACGATCGCCAATAAAGGCTGAGTCTGCACAGCGCTGGGGATATTGAATGCTTATCTGCCCCGCGTTCGTGTGTTTGTTTGTGAACGGAGCACCTTCCCAATGTGAAAATCTCCCTCAGCTTCTGGAACGTCGCACTGTCGATGGAAAAAAAACGGTTTAAAGTGAGAGTGAGTGTGTGTGTGTGTTAGAAAGATAGAGAGCATGTGTGCGTGAAGGAGAGAACGCACTCGTGAGTGTGAGTGTGTGTGTGTGTGTGTGACTGAGTGTGAGTGAGTCTGTGTGTGTGAGTGTGGATGACAGTAGCTGGTTGAGGGGGTGGGTGTTCAGGGAGAGGTGTTTAATAAAAAGTCAGTGATCATTCCATCAGTCAACTGAAGGATCTAGTTTTTACATTTTCTCAAGTGAATGGGCTGTTATGTATGGAAGCCAGTTTCTTTCACTGAATAAAAATGTATAAAGGTAATTGCAACTTTTGTTTCTTGCAATTTTGACTTTATACAATTTATATATATATATATACAGTATATATACACTCACCGGCCACTTTATTAGGTACACCTGTTCAATTGCTTGGTAACACAAATTGCTAATCAGCCAATCACATGGCAGCAACTCAATGCATTTAGGCATCTAGATGTGGTGAAGACGACTTGCTGAAGGTCAAACCGAGCATCATTAACTGCTGTATTTTGAGTTTGCACACTACACCTGCAGTGGGTGTGTAGCTGTAAATGTGTCACAGGTTCGTTACTGTGCTGTGCAAATCATCTGTTATTTCCACCAACATATCAAGTCACTTTTCTTTAAAACACTGAGTTTTTTTTCCTCATGTATTTCTGTTTGTGTTGCCTCCTACTGAGGCCTTTTGTATCGCAGCTGTTCACTGGGTCTCATTTTGAAGGCTGTGTCCTCCTGAGGTCACACTGTCGACTGCATATATCATTAAAGCTGTCTCATTTCACAAAAGTAACCAATACATAACAAAGTAAGAAAGAAATTACAATAATTTACACCTTACTAGGAATAACTGGCAATTTTATAATGGTTACTTTTCTGAAACTTTTCTAAAAAAGCCTAAGCGTCTAAAAAATGCGACCTCCAGAGTGCAAAGCCTTCAAAATGAAACTTTAATTTTAATGTTGAAGTTTTGTTGAGGACTGATTTTTCTCTTAACCGCATTCATCGGTTCTAACTCTGTAGCAGTTGATCCGAACACTGGAAAATATACTGAGAAGCTGACAGTAAAGACATTTATAATGTTACAAAAGGTATATGTTGCAAATCAATTCTGATATTTTGATATTTCTGTTCATAAAGGAATCCTGAAAACAAATGTATTACGGTTTCCACAAAAATATTAAGCAGCACAATTGCTTTCAACAATGTTCCTTGTGCAGCAAATCAGCATATTAGAATGATTTCTGAAGGATCATGTGACACTGAAGACTGGAGTAATGATGCTAAAAATTCTGTTTTGCATCACAGGAATAGGTTAAATTTAAAATGTAAAAATATATTTAAATAGATAACAGTTATTTTAAATTGCAACAATATTTCACAAAATTAATGCAGCCTTGGTAAGCGTAAGAGATTTAAAATCATAACATTAAAAAATCCCCCAAAACATTTGAACAGTAGTGTATAACAAAACAAATATTTATTTTACATAATATTTACTAAAATAGTACACATTTACTTATGCTTACATAGTAACTTCTACTTAATTCTGTTCTGTAATCCTATTATAGAATTATATTTTAAAAAATATAATTTAATAAAATGTAAATTAATGATATCACAATATAAATAAATAAAAATAATAATAATAAACAAATTCAAATGGAACATAAACAAGGTAAGGACATTTTACTAAATAAAACCCACATCACACTAATTATACAAAGAGAAGATACTTTATTATTATGACATAGCAACCAATTAGAAACAGTTTAGAAGGGTTTAATATCTAGGATTTAAAGTCGCTAACTTGTGAGCATCCAGTGACAGAAGCAATGTCTTGACCGTTTCGCATTCATAAGGACTGAGAACATTAGTACATCAGAGATGCTTTTTTTAATGCATACAATTCACACTTCAGGGGATCAAATGACTGGAAGTTTACAAGGTTTGTGGAATTAAATCTTGACATATATTGCTCGACCACTACTTAAACGATTCTAAGAGTGTTTTGTAGCATGATACTAGGTGATTGTACACTGGTGAATTCTCTGTCTTTGTCTACAAATCTCCAAGTAATATCAAACTCTCCTCAAAAATACACATGACTTGAATTGTTATTCATGCTTGTAGCAATTTCAATTGGTGTGGCACAGACTGCATGTCGAAAATGAAACACTCAGGGTGAGGGGTTTGTCAAATTTGTAGTCCTAAGTATGAGTCTTGGCAAGCACGGTAATAATTTCTCACCCGGCATGAACATGTGACAGATAGTGTCAGTCGGAGGGGTGCGGAGGCAGCAGACTATTCCTCCAGCTCAAACCTACTTACAGCTATTGCCTCTGACTAAAGCAGATAAATGTATGAATGCAGGGCTGTTATCGATATAAAATGAAAACACAGATCTAGCATGGTAAAGATTTATTCTGCCTCAAACAGATGCAGAGACACTTCTCTTTTCAAATCCCTCTTTCCATATATCCCCTCATCATCTCTCTACTAGTGTAGCGTCACTCCCAGTCCAATCCCTCTCTCAATCTACTCATCCCTCCCACATGCCTCCTCGGTTCCTTCTTTTTCTCTCTCTCTTTCTCTATTACAAGGCTGATGGATAGCTAGAAGAAGGAATCATTGATCTCGTCTCAGAGGAAGCAAATAGTGAGCACAGACAGGGACTGCAGGCGGGGTACACACACACACACACAATGGTTATACACATTATTCAAACACAAACACTTAACAATCACTTAACCACTCAACCGTATCAATACACTCTGAAATACACAGTGCATGCAAAACAAAACAGTAACATGAACAGTCTTTCACTCCTATGCAGTGTTAATGTTGAAAAAAAAAAACGGTAACGCTTTAGATTACAACCCGCAATGTACTGCGTAAGTAAACAGAATTTACAGCCTCTGGAAACCATAATGAAGACAAGACCAAAAATGTGCATCATGATGATAATCAGAAAGGTTTTAATTAAAACGTATTGTTGTTGACAATACACACTTACTGTTTAAAGGTTTGGGATCAGTAGGATTTTTTTATGTAAGTGTCTTATGCTCACCAAGGCTGCATTTATTTGATAAAAAATACACTGAAAACACCAACATTATGAAATATTGTTTTTCTTTATGGAGTATCAGTGAGCATTTGAACCTTTTGTAATAGTTGTGTTTGAGTCCCTCAGTTGTTCTCAGTGTGAAAAGATGGATCTCAAAATCATACAGCCATTGTTGGAAAGGGTTCAAATACGCAAAAGATGCTGGAAACCCAAAGAATTTGTGGGACCTGAAGGATTTTTCTGAAGAACAGCAGGCAGTTTAACTGTTCAGGACAAACAAGATACTCATGAACAACCATTTAAAAAAAAAAGCCCCGCTGTGGATAATTTAGCTAACAACACAGTATTAAGATTCAAGCGTATGTAAACTTTTAAACAGGGTCATTTTTATAAATTAAACTATACTTAAAATAAAACTATTATTTTCTCTTGTGGACTATATGTACATGTCTTTTATGTGAAATATCTTATTCAGGTCAGTACTACAGTAAATAAAAAAATAACATGCATTTTATATGATCCCTGTTATTTTGGTAACATAATTAACATTTTGCATATACTGCAAAATGCATGTAAAATTTTGACCACAACTGTGCATGTATACCGACCCCAATGGTATGCTGAATGGAAGTGTGATAATATAGAATAGAATAGAATAGATTTTTTTCCAAAATGCTTGAAAATTTGTTTGCTCTGTTTGACACATTTAGCATATTATCAGTACCTAAAATGTCATCTTCAGCTGCCACTATTCGGAGGCAAAACGGACTAAAATGAATGAATATGACAAACTATTGATTAAATTTAAAGGGATTTTGGTCATCAAAAGACAAAAACTATGACTCAAATTGGAACTGTAAAAACAAACACTGTTCTGATCTACCTTTGTGACATGATCTTGAAGGCGTCTGGCAGGTAGCACTGTACATTTTCCATCTGAAAGGGGTCGGCATCACAGATCTTATCATCCGTGCGGCCGTAGTTGGCTGTCTCGATCATGATGACATCACTGCCGGGGCAGCGGAGCTCGATGGGGTAACCCTCGCATGCCAACTCCCTCCGCATCAGACCAAATGGCATTGCAGAGCGACTTAATGCTGCATGAAGAAAGAGAAACACACATTCAGCATGAACTGTTCACAACACTGTTCACAACTCATTTTACTTCTGTAATTTAGCATAATTCTGAGTGAAACAGAATATTCAACAAGAAAAATTGTGGGAGTGGGACCTGATTTTATACATATGAATTGACTGAATCATTAAGTATGGATTTTACATAGCAGGTGGATAGAAAGAGGCAGAGCAAGACAATATAACAAACAATTATGAAACACATTTGGGAATAAAGTGATGAATCATGCACAAGAAGTTCAGTAACATTTGTTAATAAAATAAACAAGGTCAAATTTGACTTCATGTTGATTTTATAATGAGCCAACCACTTGCATGGATTATTGATGCAATTAGCAGGTCATGAAGAAACCTGCTAATTAAAAATAACTCTTACAGCATAGGGAACTGTTTATTACAGCAAAATTTTATGACCCACAAAAAACCTTTAAAGTGAAAAGAAAGAAATAATTAGACAAACGGACAAGGGTTTTTCACAGCCAGTGATCATATGTTCAGCCTTCGTAGTCCTGAGGAGCAAACTATTTACCCTCTCGCTCAAACAAACTGAGTTACGTACACACTCTGTTAACACCCTCCCACTCCTTTCACAGCTCTCGGCCGAATGCCATCTACCACCCAAATGCAAGGCTCGAGAATAGAAAATCAGTTCCCATGTGTACAAATCGCTTCGGGAGCCAATAACCAAACACCTGAACAGAACCAGCACCTAGAGGAGAGAACTGACCCTAGACCCACCACCGGCCCTATCTGCCCACACGTGGCGTCTGCCATTTACACTCAATTTAAGAGAGAGTGAGAGAGACATGTTAAGAGGGCTATAGGTGCCGTAGGGTTAATCATTGTGCCTGGCTGAGAGGGCCCGAGAGTGGCATACTTTATCTGAACAAGAGCTTTTAAAGAGTTTGAAGATCCAGCCATGTAAAATGGCCGCCAGCCGCCTCCACTCACAGAAGACAAAAACCAGGCAGTGGAGCTCTCCATGGTGCTGACAAATAGAAAGGGGGAACCTGTGGAGCTGTCCATTGTGCTGAAAAATGAGGGGGTGGATCTGACCCACAGAGTTCCATGAACAGAAAAAAACTGATCAATGAAGTGCTCAGTACTCCTGAAATTATTTCCTTCAGCTCTTGTAGCTTCAAAGACTTTGCAATCAAATATAGGAAACTTTTTTACGACAAAGCCGACAATTTGAAAAACCTGCTTAGTCAATGCATGCTTCTGTAAGTAACAGTAATTGGCAGACTCTGTTATATGGACAAATGGAACAAGTACATCCATTCAGCTTCGGACACAAAATGGCCTTTTTCTTTGCTTGAGATGCGATGTAAAGTTCTCAGATTTTGAGTCACCCCTTTTCACACTGAGGTCAATGTGAAAGTCAGACGTTACTCAGAACAGGATCTAAAAGCATGCTCCTTTTGTCTGCCAATGTCAGCCATTCATCCCAGTGCACTTGAACATGTTTGTGACTCTCTGAACTGGTTTCCCACTCAACGGTTCTGTAATCCTTGTCCTGTTCTCTTTTAAACCCTGAGCACTTAGTTGTCGCCATGGAATGTGGACATACATAACTGCATCATACATCACACAGTCGTGTAGCTATCACACAGGCTCACAACAGCAAGCAAGCATGGCGGACATCAGTGTGGGAATGGATGGCGTAATCTTGCCGTAAATGTGTAGATTTGAGGGTTCAGACCTGTTCCGATGATTGGGAGATTTGCGGAGTTAAACATGTTAAGGCTGTTCTGGTGTGCATTCAAATAGACACACTCCCTTGTGCCCACATGACACACACACACACACACACACACACACATATAAAGAGGCAAAGTGGGATTAGAGTGTGCCAGCATGGAGTCTTGTTTCCGCAGCATTCCCGTGGAGCAAACACATAGCTCCATACTGCTGGTCACTGATTAAACCATTACTCTGGGCTCGGCACTGCCTCGCCACAGGAGGCCAATCACACAGCCAACCAATCACCCACATGTTCATATAGTTTCAGCAAAGCCGGTATGTCCCACACTGCATGTTGCCATCCCACAAACTACTCCAAATACGTCAGCCCAATAATTTCTACCTTTCACTCTGCCTCTTTATCTGCCCATATCTCCAACTGTAACCACCCAGTTATCTCCCAAACTTGACTACAGCTACTGGATTAATAGGCTCATTCCCTCATTTATGAGTGTATTCTGCTCCCACAGACATTATCTCCAATCGGAGAGGAAATTGGACTGAGGGGAATAATCTTCATAATCCGAATTACAATGCTGGAAAGTCTCAAGCTAAAGGATGGAACCCATTTAAAAGATAGGATAGTTGTATTTTCATTTCGTCTTTTTGATATAAGCAGGTCCACAGATGATTAGGAAAATGACCATGGGGTAAGTAAATATCTGGAAGACAATTATCTGAAATCTTTGTTCAGGGTCAGTTTTTGGAAAGTCATTGGATTGTGTAATTGGAATGAGTTTGGGTCGGAGATGGCGGATAGTGCACATGCTCAAGCAGTACAGGTTACCAGAGTTTGAAACTCCCATTGGGTTTTTTCGAGATCCCACCCCAAGGCAAGGGTATTTGTGAAACATAGCATTATTCATTATCAAAGGAATTGAAGTCTATCTAGGGTGAGGGTTGGAGTAACCAGACCTAATGTGTATAAGGACTTGCATGACTACTTTATTTTAGTAGTCGACTAGTTGTCCAGTAGCTGACTACTATCTAATGAATCAATGTTTACCTAGTGTAAACGACACACTGTGCACTATCTGGGGTCTGGCAGCCAACTGGAAAGTGTCTCTCACACAGCTGAAGTGAAAGCTGAATGTAGTTAAGTTAGTCACTACATTTAATTATTTTCTCCCAACAGTAATCAAACGCCGATCATCTTAGAAGTTTTCCATGCAGTTTGCTTTGTGAATGCAAATGCTACCTGTATTTTCTCCAAATAGATTTGGTCATAACAGGATGGCATTGGAAACAAATGAGAAGCAAATAAACCGGGACATAGTTTGTGGACGGAGGAATTTTCCTCCTGCTGTCGCTAGTGCCACTGAACAAGCACACATGATCTGGGACTAGACTGCACAAGTATGAGCGAGTTGTAGAACTAATTGTCTACTCAGTACAACACCTATGAATGTGCTTGTGGGATGAAATGGAGCAGGTACTCATAGTCTGATTTGTGATTTTATCAGATGGATCACTGGTCGTCTGGCTCTAAAGCTCTGCGACTTGCTGCACAGACGATGACGGTCTCTGTATGTGTTACGGGGCTGCCAAGACGTGAGACATGCGGATCCATGTGCAAGCTTTATTAAGCAGAGAGATCAGAAACACAGGCAGGGTCGACCAATGGCAAAACAGGTATATGGCGGGCAAGACACAAGAATAATCCTAGGGCTAGCGAAGGTCAACGAACGGCGAACAGAAGCAAAAGGGGCAAGACTAAAGGGATAAATCCAGGAAAACAGGCGAAGATCAGAAACCGAGAAAACAGACAAGGCAAGGCAAGACTAGGCTAGGCTAGGAAGCTAACGAGGGCTCTGTAGAGTAGCTATCACTGCTGGCGATAAGCGCATACAATCCTCGGCCGCGGGAAGGGATCAGAGTGAGTGTTAAATAGTGAGTGAGTGATATGAAACACCTGTGTGCAATCAGTGCTGTGTGCAATCAGTGAAACAGCTGTGTGCAATCAGTGCTGTGTGCAATCAGTGAAACAGCTGTGTGCAATCAGTGCTGTGTGCAATCAGTGAAACAGCTGTGTGCAATCAGTGCTGTGTGCAATCAGTGAAACAGCTGTGTGCAATCAGTGCTGTGTGCAATCAGTGAAACAGCTGTGTGCAATCAGTGCTGTGTGCAATCAGTGAAACAGCTGTGTGCAATCAGTGCTGTGTGCAATCAGTGAAACAGCTGTGTGCAATCAGTGCTGTGTGCAATCAGTGAAACAGCTGTGTGCAATCAGTGCTGTGTGCAATCAGTGAAACAGCTGTGTGCAATCAGTGCTGTGTGCAATCAGTGAAACAGCTGTGTGCAATCAGTGCTGTGTGCAATCAGTGAAACAGCTGTGTGCAATCAGTGCTGTGTGCAATCAGTGAAACAGCTGTGTGCAATCAGTGCTGTGTGCAATCAGTGAAACAGCTGTGTGCAATCAGTGCTGTGTGCAATCAGTGAAACAGCTGTGTGCAATCAGTGCTGTGTGCAATCAGTGAAACAGCTGTGTGCAATCAGTGCTGTGTGCAATCAGTGAAACAGCTGTGTGCAATCAGTGCTGTGTGCAATCAGTGAAACAGCTGTGTGCAATCAGTGCTGTGTGCAATCAGTGAAACAGCTGTGTGCAATCAGTGCTGTGTGCAATCAGTGAAACAGCTGTGTGCAATCAGTGCTGTGTGCAATCAGTGAAACAGCTGTGTGCAATCAGTGCTGTGTGCAATCAGTGAAACAGCTGTGTGCAATCAGTGCTGTGTGCAATCAGTGCAATGAATGATGGGATATGTAGTCCGGGGTGATATGCAACAGTGTGTCGTGCGAGAGTCAATGAAAATGGAAAGGGTGACCTCTGATGGCTAGCAGACGGAAGTTCATGGACCGGATACGTAACAGTATGAACTGGACGATATTTCAGTTTCTTTATTCAGTAATATGTTATACACACCTTTAAACAGTACTGGCAGCTTCATACTTACAGATATTTTAATTTTGGTTGTGCCACTTTCATTTATCTCAAAATGCGCAGATTGGAAATTATTGAAAATAATGGAAGCAGGAAATGAGGCAAGCCAAAGTCAAACTGGCATTGTCTCCATGAGCACTGTGCTTCATCAATGATGAAGAGTAACTACAAGCAGTGATACAAACTTAATCACATTTTTCAGTAGTGTGACAGCAGCTTTGCAGGTTCCAAAATACTACCGCTTTAGTAAGCACCATTAGCAAGTTATTTCCAGAGTAACAG